CACGTAAAGGAACACCAATTCAAGATGTTCAACTGAATCTCTCAGTTGGGAATGTAGAAGCACCAAGAATTGACAGTCCCAACATGGTGCAAACACTCTGATTGTTGTTCAACAGCTTCAAGAACACGCATAGAATGCGGTTCCTGATTGCTGTGATCACCAGCTTCTGCAACACGTTTGCCGACACTGTCACAATATCCCACAAATAAAGTATCATTGCTTTTAGATTGATCTCTTTGATGTCGCAAACGATTTTTGGCAGCTCTTGCTGCTTCGGAGCAGCTATTTTTTGGCACCGTTTCTGGCTGTGAGGGCCAGAACTGACCACTGCCAGCTGCTTCTCCATGCTCAACCGAATTCAAAGCAGGGTAATGCTTGTGGAAAGTGTCTCAGGCTCTTGGTAAACCAGCAGTTTTTGGTCCGAAGATTCTTCACGGCATCACCCTGCAACGGCACTAGTCCACCATTTCACGGCATTGCTTCAGCGATGTCGTGTGATGATGTGTGTGCACTCTCAGACAGCTGCCTTGGAGAGTTAAGAGTCGACTGCACTGCAGACTGCACTTTTTTTTGCAGTATCTTATTTTGAGCCATTCATGATTATTGGACGCCCTCCAACCAAACGCCCAAAAGGCTACTTTGTGCTCGCTATTTTGGTCCAGCTGTATTTCTCTCAGCCACAGAAAATGTGTCGGAAGGAGCCGACTCAAGCTCCGAAAGAGCCAATGCTGCAGCAGTTTCAAAACATACAGACTATAGGAAGTGTGTGAAGGGTCATGATGTCGACCTATACTGTGCATATGAACTATGTTTCAAAACACGTGATCTGGAACAAAGGATTCGCACCATGAGTCACACGATGTTGACGAAGAGTCATATAGTCATGTGTGAGGTGCGTGTTTTGTCATTTGGTGACGTGTGGAGTGTAGAGTGATGAAGCCTACGTAGCGCGCTAAGGCCACCACTGGTATATACAAAGTACAAATCATAAGCAGTTTTTAATCGACGCACCTGTAGAATCATACCACGTGACAACTGGTAGAACCGCAATTACCACTTTTCGATGTTTTTCTCTCTAGCTAGAAATCTTTAGATTGAGATTTTGATATATACACACAAATACATAATATATACACACACTAGACTTTGCTGATGTACTTTGTCGTGGCGCAATGGACTTCCACATCCTTTGTCCCTCGTGCTGCCAGCACAACCAGAGACCCCAAGAACCTGCTTAGACCTGCCCCAGGAAGTGATTGACAGTGGCCTTTGACCTTCTCCGCTTTTCCTTTTCGTCAGATTGCTTGGTTACTCAAGGGCGGCGAACCGCTGCTCCCTCGAACTGTGTCACGGTAGGCAGATCCATGCGGATCCAAAACCGCGGAGTGGAACCTCCGGTCTCTTTTCCCAAAACAAAATTGCATTACATTGTAATTCAGTTCTAATAGCCCCTAGTAGCTTCTTGCTCCTAGTAGTACGGCCAGGAGCCCCTAGTGGCGTCCTTGCTCCTAGTAGCGATGCGAGGAGCCCCTTATACAGTAGCTTCTTTGTACTATTGGTGCTCAACAGACTGACATTCCTCCTCCATTCTCCCGACTGACAAGGTGTTTTGAAACCTCTGATTCCGTTCCCCAGTAGAACTGCTCGACGGGCTCAACTCTCGCCTGCCAACCGTCCACAGCCGTGACAATGCGTGCGTACGGTCTCCGCTTCTCATAGAAACTGCACAACAAACACTTTGCATCACTTTGCCAGCTTCGCAGCTCATCTGACAATGCGTTCTGAATTCTCCAGTGCCGTTCTGCAATAAAATAAAACTGTGTTGAGTCCCCCACACAGATAACTTGCGGACTATCTGTCACGCCCCACAGCCCTTTCTGGGGTACAGGGGGTTAGGCCGTAGGTTTGTACAAGACAGCAGAGAAATAGATTTCAAGAGGTAAATTGGAAATCTCAACTGGAAACTCTGGATGTCAGATCCCATGTTGGGATTCAAAGGGAGACATGCATCAAACAAAACCGTAACCAATCACGGCGCCGAATTTTAGCGAGGCTAACAGGAGTATCGGCTGTTCACCTTTTTTGCCCCATGAACGGCTCGTAGGTACTGGAAACTTGCAGAACGGCACTCTCGCCAAAAACCCTTTGACGCTTTTCATCCAAGGCATCACTGAAAAAAGTAGTCCACTAACTCAAGCACAACACAACCACATGATATTCGTCCCCAAGCCGAACACCAAATCAGTTCATAGCCTTACACCCATGATGCCATCACTCAACATCCCTTTCACGCGCAGCATCGGTGATAAGTTTTCGGGGCAGAGCGCAGTCAAATGCGACAGTGACAGTGACTGTAGCAATAACGAGGTAGGAAGCCATTTTCTCAAAATGCAGCAAGAAACTGAAACGTAAACAAGAAGGCAACCACAAAGTTCAGACCAAGAAAACGGACCATGTTGTAAGGTTATGGGCTCGTTCTCATCCCTTGACATCTCGTCCTGCTATTGAACACATTCCGTTTTGCCCTTGAAGAACGAGAATGCACTTGAAGATCATCAACCATGATGTGCCAGTCAAGAGTCCAAACTCAACCAAGCATGTCAACAACCATGGCGACGAAACTACAAGCCACAAGAGCAATGGCAAGTAAAGGACTTTGGTCCGTGGCATGGCTTGATCCGCCCTCCTGACAGCCACGGGACGTGAACCCTCGAGCCACAGTGGCTAGCTTTGCGGCATTGCGTCTCCCGAAACAAAGTACTCTTGAAGCGCGTCTCACCCGCTTGAATGCCAGATTCCCGTTCTGCCACATGACTTCCGTCTCTTACTTTCGCGCCCATGATGCGACAAACACACGCACACACCAATTGTAACTGTTCGTAACTCGGCACTTTCTCTTTGGAAACTTTCTCTGACAACTATTGGAACAGCAGACTTGTGCTAGGTTGCCCGGTGAACGGCGTTCTCAACAAAAAGACAGATTTTGGGTTTTTTGAATGTTGAATGACCGCGAACACGGTGCAGACACATGACCATTAGCAAGGAGATGCGAAGGCGAAGAGCCAACGGAGTGGCCAACAGACACAAGCTGGTCCAAAAACTGAATTGAATAAACTAAGTACAGTACACAAGGCTCTTGAGTTGTTGAAGAAGCCATGCGGCGTGCCATGCGGTTGAAAAGTCCTTACAACAGCTGACTATTAACTAGTTCATTGGCTGCTGGTAGCATTGCCAAGTTGACAGCCTTGCTAACCTGAAGTGATGCTATGATCCGCTGAACCGATTGACCGCTACGACTGCCGGAATGGAAAGGGCCTGCTGGCCAGGCTGCCACGGTGCCGCAGGCGGCGGGCTCCTCAATTGTTTGGCAAGCGCTGCTTGTATTTGTGACAGTTTCCAGGATTGGATCAGATGTCCATTCTTTTAAACACAGACGACCATGCTGCACAGCCTTCTGGCCTAGAACAGAACTTCCCCAAAGCTTGTGGGCAAAGCCCAGCATACAGACCTGACTATGTTGGTGCCTGCTATTCTATTGTCCTGGCTCCAATGCAGGGGGCGGAGATATGTCCAGAAATTGCAACTAAACTAAATTGTATTATATATTTAATTATATACCTGCTCTCATGCTGCGAGAAGATACTACAAGTTATATACTCAAGGACATTAAGCCCGGCGAATGCAATTGTCATTGCAATCTGAAGTTTAGACCTGGTATGTGTATGAGAGAGTCAAGAGGTGCAAACTTTTAACCGTGATGTGGTTCACATTGTGCTGATTTCTCGCATTGGGCAATTTTTGCACAAGGACGCCCACACACTCACAGCACACATAGAAGTATATACATGTATAGTAGCATGTTATATATTGATACGCAAAACCCGCAATTTCTAGAAAGACCGATGCATTTGACCACGGTCTCTGTGTGGATGATAGAACGTCAGATCCTCCCGCACTCCCAGCACTCCAAGCTTTCATGTCACAGTCGGGTGGCGACAATTGCTGTTTGAAACAGCAATCCAGGTTGAGAGAGATGTGGAAGACATGCCGAATGTAGTTTCCCAACAAACGGCATACTGTAAGCTGGCGCGGGTTGGCTGGAGTTGCCCGATCCACACCCCTTTAAGGTGATATACAGATTGCACAGTTTCAGCAGTTTTTGACCCACACTCACACATTGCTGGCCCCCGCAAGGTCGGGTGGTATTGCTTTGGCCGCTCAGACAGACAGATGCTGGCGGACACTGTCAGAAATCAGCACATCGGACGTGGCTTGGACGCTGTTCTTTTGATCAGCAGAACCCAGGCTATGCTTTCAACCTGTTCTGGGACAACTTCCGGTTGGAGGCATGGACCTTTGATGATAGAAGCGCCTTATGTGTGCATGCTCATGCCCATGTTCAAGGCCAAGATAGAACACCAAAAACGCATTCAGACGCCGCAGTAGTACTGTAAATTGTAGGAATGACATGGACATGAAGGCATGAAATGGGCGGCGGAAATCATATTAATGCAATTGCTGTGCTACTAGTAGGTGTTGGCGGCCAGCTACCTAGCGGCTTTGGTGGTCAAGGAGCATCCGGTGATTATCCAAGATTTTTCAATCGCTTTGGTGCTGGTGTTGTTGGCGGTTGTGCTTGTAGTGGTGGCACGATACATGGTTTTTGGCCAGAGCTAGATTCAAACCGCGACCTTGAGAGAGAGTGTGCCTTGTCATGAGGAAATGCATTGCCAGAAATTGCGGGATGTATAGAAATCAACCTACTGGAGTTTCAACTTTCCAAGTGGCTTGGGCCCAAATCGGAATCCCCGCTGGCCAGGCCTTGGAAACCAAGGCCAATTTGGTGGCTTTGGCGCGCCCTCTGGTAATTTGGGTGGGGGCGGCTTGGGGACGCCAGGCATGCAACCGGGCATGCAACCGGGCATGCAACCGCCGTCTGGGCTTGGTGGCAGTTTTGGCGGACCCTTGGTTGCTTACTTACCTGATCAAACCTTGCTTGCTTACTTGGTTCAGTTCCGTGCCACTGTTGCTTGAAGCCAAGGCACCGGTTGGCCACCTGGTGGGCTTGCTGGCCCTACAGCTCTTGCGGGGGCAGGCTGGAAATGATATGCTGGAAGTGGCCGCATGGCATGGCATAACAAAATCTAATGAATGTTAATGTAGACTCTTGATTAATAAAGCCTCCCCATTTGGATGCACGGACTTGCGGTTCGACGCGCCCACAACCGCCCCTTGTCACCTAATGTGACAGGTACAGGTGTGTTTGGCATGTACACTGTGGGACAATGGCAATTGCAAAAGGCTCCACAGTGTGGACACTGAATTGGATCCCTTCTGAGATGACTGAGAAGAAAGTAATTAAGTGAGATCCTACCCATTCAAGACTAAACGAACTGCTACCAGACGGCCGCTATGGGAAGCTTACAAAGAGAAAGTCTGTACACCTCAGCGTCGCGCAGCGATCGGGTCGTATGCAGTGAAGGAAAAAGACGAGAAGGCAGGATCACCAACTCATGAGAACTCGCCACTGCGCTTTTCACTATGACAAAATTTGAAATATCAAAGTGACGAGTCATTGGCTCAGGCCGATGTCGATATGTAAGTGCCTTTTGGCCACATGGGACTTCAAAAGAGTCTTCAAACAAATTCGCCATCAAGCACGACTTTCTGAGCGCAATTTTCGGTAAAAATGCCCGAGTTGGGAACCTCCGTAGGCCCTTTGAGAGTCTAGTGGGTCTATTTCCAAGCCCAACACCTCGACAAAGCAAAAAGGAACTCCAAGAGAAGTTCCTTGAGGAAACATGCCTTGCTCATCTCTTGACAGGCTTCTGGAAACTTGGCGGGTGTCATCACTAAATGAGTCGAACACATTCCAAGGTTGGTCTTTGCTATGATCATCTCATGGCTGTGGCATATCGACGGATTGTGTCATGGCTCAGTTCGCACTCCCCAAAAGGGAAGTGACAGACATGGCATGAAGGCCTGAGCCACAATGCCCTCCCCATTTGGATTGCAGCACCTCTCAATGTGGGGGGTGAAACATAATCAAAAGCCTACATGACTGGTCGAGAGGCAGCTTACCTCACCCATCAGGTCTTGGAAGTGGCCTGTGCTTGGGGATGCCACTGAACCCGCCGAACCACCAGAACGGTCCTCTCCAGGGAGGAGACCCGACGACCTTTGCAAACCCCAGCGGGGACCCAACCCTGCACCAAGCTTTCCACTATGCTGACATTGCTGCAGCTGGGCATGCGTTCCAGAACGTTTTGGATGGTGTATGGTGAATGTATGATATGTTTAAGGTTTCGTTGGCGGTTTACAAATGGCGACATGAGCAAACATCTGTTTTGCCTGGAACCTGATGTAGAGGAGTCTTTTTCTTTGTGTACTGTCTTTCTGACGCATAAAACCATTTTGAGGAGTCTTTTGCTTGTGGATCTCCGACCGCGTCGCTGAATGGGGTCGAGCCGTTGCGAGTTGCGATGCCCAGGCGTACCTCCTCCAAAAACCAGAGCCAAGATCTCCTATGGAGTGCCGTGAGCAATGCAAACAAAACGAGGGCTGCGCAGCCTGGGAGGCGCGCATTTCGGACTGTGATTGAGAATCCAAAGGCACCGGCGTGGTTTTGTTGTAGCCATGTTTGAGACACACACGCACACGCGCACGCACACACGCACACAAAAACAAACATTGTATAGAGAGTAGGGCGCTGCAACATGCACTTTGTATACATGGTGCTAGAGATTTGGTTTGAAGAATCAATGCTGTGAGAGCATGTGGATCTGGCAGAACATTTTATAGAGAATAGGTGTTGACATGTGTCGCAGCGCTCGCACCATCAGTCAGTGTTTTTGTGGTTTTTCTTTTCAGAGTTGTACCCCAAACCTGGCTCGACTGTTTCAGCCTTTTCCAAGCTGGAAGGAAAAGAAGGAAATAATTAAAAAACAGAGAAGAGAAAGGAACTAGAATATACTATACTTAGTCTTTTCTGTGATTTATTCTTGAAATACAGTTTCCTTAAGTTTCTCAAACTCCTTGCATGTCCTCAATCACCTCCAATTTAATTGAATTTTCAGGAGAAGGCTTTTTAATAGCCCAAAAGAAACAACAAAGAAAGGCGTTGATCGAACACCTCTAGTTTGCTGTATTTGGAATTTTGAAAGAAGACCACACTAGGTACGTAGAAAGGGCAGGCAGATGTTTTTTTCTGTCGAACCTCCCTTGTTCCTTTCCGAATCTTCCCGGGGAGCGGCCGTTTCCCGGAGAGCTGCCGCTCGTTCTCTCCCCATTGAAGAAAAAGATGGCAGAGACAGAGACCCAGAAACGGGAAAGGACTCTAGAAAAGATAGGAAGGTGTGTAGCTGAGAGCTCGGGTAGTTCATCGTGAAGTAGATTTGGCATGGCATTTTCTAGAGATAGTTATTATCCTTTAAAATAGAGGCTGCCGTGGTCCATCTCTCCAGTGATCTTGAACTAGACCTGTATACAACTTGGCCGTTGATAGAAACACCCTGGCCAGTCGTTTTACAGAAAGTTTATTCCCCAAACAGTTTACGGTTGGGGTTCTATCTTAAAAAAAGAGCTGGCCACACTCACTTGAAACGAATCGTTTTGAAACTGCTTGTCTATGCTGGTATAATTAACCGTCTATAGACACCATTTCTCTGTGGAATGCCCGGCAAGTGACCCCACTGATCATGTACGCAGCATTGCGCACACACAATTTGAAAAAGGACACGTGTTGCGCTTGGTCTTGCAGCCTTGCATTTCCCCTTATCATTCGGATCTTGGGGCTTCGGCGCTCCTTCGTGTCCGTTTGCGTCACCTGTTGAGGTCTGTGCTCCTTTGGGGGATGGCTGTGATGGCTGCTACCTGATCTCCCGTGCGCCCCGGCGCTGGGATCAGCGCGAGGGGTGGCACGCAGAGATTCTCCCAGGCCTGGACTAGTGGCCGCAGCGTTGTTCAAACAAGTCTTCATGCTTCAGATTCAAAGCCTGTGTCTGTCTGTGGGAAAGCCATTTGTGCGACATGTTTGGAAATTTGAGTTGCGTTTTACATAGGTTAAACTTGGTTAAATTCCTAGCTGTAAGGGCAATCCAAGACACACACACATGTCTATATATATATGTATATACAACATATAAAAAGTCCCAAAGATCTTAAGAGTAGCACCGGTGTCTCGTGATAGACGCTGCCCTGGAGGCCGGGAAGAGCTTGGATGGAGCAACAACGACACTACTGGTCTCGCTATTTGGACTTATGTTGTTGGCGTGTGTTGACTGTCCTGCTATTGTCCGAGGGAGTTTCCAGACTGGGTTCTATTCAGTTTGTTTTGAGAGCCGTGGCATGCCGTGGGACAAGGACAACTTGACTGTCGAGAGCTGCAGGGAATTCTTGCTCAGCGCCAATGGAGCCTCATTGTGAACGCAAGGGGGTCGACTGCGCTCTTGCCCTCAATATCTAAAATCAAAGAGTGCCACAGGAAGCAAAACCGCTCACTAAACCACATTACCCATGAACAAACGGCCACATACCTTAAATTTTGCAGCCGCGCATGGTTACCGTACCCTTAAAGATACCCCACACACACTTAGGGCTTAACTGAAATGTTGAACAATGTTGACGCGTTAGCGCTTTACTGAATACTTAGCTTAGCAGATAAAAAGGGGAAGGTTTAGGGCTGAGAACCACCATGAGAAGCAAACCGAAAGGAGAACAGCTTGTGCGACAGTTCAGCAGGTACCTTTGCAGCCCCCCCCTGCGTTGTCTGAGAAAGAATACAGAAAAATTGGGAAAGATTCCTACAGACGGAGGGTGGCGCACACAACCCGTCGATTTTCGGCGCTGGCAGCAAAACATTTTTGTTCAAAAAGCGTTCGCGCTCTGCTGTGAAGTGCCGTTTGGCAATGAACCTGACTAGGTACCTAAAAAGCCTTAGAAAAGAAAGAAAGACGGAAAGAGCAAAACGGAAAGGGAAAGAAAGAAAGATAGGAGCAGCGAAAAAGTGACTACTTAGTACTTGATTACTGAGCCCTTGACTGACAAAGAAAAAGAACCTCATTACAAACCTAAAAAGCCTCTAGCAGAGAGGCAAACCTAGAAAGAGAAACGAACAGGCAAGAGAGAAAGAACTAAACAAAACCCGAGGGGCAGGGAAACGAGCCTCAAGAACCGCCTAACGAGCCTGAAAGAAAACCTAGAAAACGAAGAAAGCGTAAGAGAGAAATACTTAGCAGCCGCTAATTGCGTGCAATAGTTAGGGAGCGGGACTTTTGTCTTAGACCGCCCGGGTAGACCACAAGTGTCACGAACTCAAGACGCTGAACCACTTTGTGATTCATGGTGGCTTCGGAGCACCTCTTACGAGAGGATCACACTGTGTACCCAGTGGGAAGACACAGCGACACACACACACACACTTAGCCACAGGGTTTGCAGTTTCCATCATCCACAGTGAAATGGCGACGAGGGAAGGGAAAGGCGCAAAGTCGGCCTAACTGAAAGGTTGAACAATGTTGACGCGCTAGCACTTTACTGAATACTTAGCAGATAAAAAGGGGAAGGTTTAGGGCTGAGAACCACTATGAGAAGCAAACCGAAAGGAGAACAGCTTGTGCAACAGTTCAGCAGGTACGTGGCCTCTTCGAGGGCCATCCGCTGGGGAGGGGGATGCCCCTGCGTCATCTGGAAAGAACACAGAAAAGCTGGGAAAGACTCCTAGGGACAGAGGGCGACACACACACACACAAAAGGCGCACACCATCGAAGACACGGACCTCAATCTTCGTGGAAACCAGCATTCAATCCAAGACATTACAGTTACTTACAGTTATACAATATACAGTTAGAATAGTGTTTCCATAAACACCATCTTTATAATCATGCACTCACGGCCTGGAAACTCACAATGCTTAACGCAGAGTTCTAGCCATTATAGATGCATAGACGACAACTTGATGCACATGGTGTTTCACCACCTCTCCTCACCCGTGTTTTTCCTTTGCAGATGGCAGATGACCATGCCGGTCATGACGGTGACTCTTTCCGCCAAGCCCAGGAGCCGATCAAAGCGTACCGTTTCACGAGCCCGCTGTCATGCAAAAGTACTCCGCGCGCCTCAGCTTGAGTCGGGGGCGAGCCCGTGAGCTGACCTCACGGCGCGCGGACCAGTCCCGGCGCGAGCGGTTGGCCCCCAGCAGCACGCGAGGTCTGAGCTCCTCGCGTTCGCTGAAGAGCTCAGATTTGTTGATGAACCATGATGGACCGTCGCAAAGCACTCGAACCGGAGTGCCAGAACTGTGAAGTACACTCGTTGGAACCAAGGTGAAAGTGGAACACAGCGAAACAAGGAATACCATGTTCCAAACAAGCAATTCCTTTATCACTTCCAGGTTAGTTCCAGGGAGAGTCTTCGTAGGTTCTTTTTTCAGAGTTGACCTCTCGCCTTTCGCCCCAAGGTGCGGCTCCATTGTGTGGGATGCGGAGGGCCCTCGTGGCCTTCACGTGGTTGGACAGCACTGGCCCACCTTCTTGGTGACCAACTTCTGGGATCCACCCATAGCGCTTCCGAAGGACTGGCGGATGGAAGAAGTCCCAGGAAACATGCAGATTTTGGATGGTAAGATGTTGAAACGCCTGCGTAAGTCTTTTGTGTTCCTGGTGCGAAGCAAAGGAGTTAGGAGTTTGTTCTGCAAGGAAGTTGAGCAAGAGATGCTAGCCTCTAGCCCGCGACAGCAGCGGCCAGCGACACACCTAGCGGCGGCTGCTTTGGAAGCACTCCAACGACCAGGCAAAGGATGGCAAAGGAGCAAAGGGCATCGCTACGAACGGAGCAATGAAGCTACTAGGGGCTCCTGGCCTTACTAGTAACAAGAAGCTATTAGAAACAAGAATTAGTATTAGAGTTTAAATTTGGTGTAGACTCCGAGCGAAGATCGGTCCACCTTTTCGATCGGAAGTCCAGGCGTGACGGAGCAACTGCACGGAACCATTGGTTCCGGCTCATGGGAGGAACACCGCCGAAGCAAGGCCCGAGTTATGCGGGCGATCCGGGCCGGTCCGGCCGGGCTTGGGCTTTGCGGTTTGACTCTTGGGCATTCGGGACATGGCTTATTTGTCGCCCTGGTTTGATCCTAGCGGTGGTTCACATGGCATTCAATGATTCAATTAGCAAGGCCGTCGCAGTTTGGTCTGTGAGTGGTTGATGCGGTTTGTTGCTATGCTTTGAGCTTGTGCCGCTTCTGGGCTTTGCAGCCATGGACAGAAAGCAAGGAATTACAGTACATCCGGAAGAGATAACAGAAAACCGGTTCTGGGCGCTGGGAGTGGTCGCACTGGGCCATCCTTCGCGCCATCTTCCTAGTTGAGCCGACCACTGGGGCGGATGTCCACACAAGCAATCAAGTAGATCAAAGTAAATCACACTTCCTGGTTCTGGCACAAGCTTACATAGCCGCTTCAGTTTCCTGTGTCTTTTCTTTCTGGGTTTCAGTGTTTCAGCAGACTGATGGACAGCTGAAACTCACATTCACATGATTCTGCTCAGAAGCCGCTTACGCCTTTGCATTTCTTCCAGGCACGTGGGCCTCACGCATTTGTTCTGCCCTTCTATGACACAAACATCGGGCACTGGATGAAACAGCACGGTTCTATGAATCCTCTGCAGTCGTATGAAATGCAATCAATCCTACAGCCTGGAGATGTGGTTCTTGACGTTGGCGCCAACTTGGGATGCTACACCTTGCCCTTTGCCGAGCGAGTTGGTGCAGCTGGAAAGGTCATTGCCGTGGAACCTTTCCGGTGGCTGCGGCAAATCGTCGCGGCCAATGTGGCCATCAATGGGCTCAGCAACGTTTGGCTGCCGCCGGTCGGGCTCGGCGCAGAGCGCGCGAGTTTCGAGGCCCGACCGCCCCAGTTTCGCTTCTTTTCTTCGCCCGGTGGTGTGAAGCTTCGCCAGCAGCAGCAAGACATGAAGGTTGAGGAAGCCATGCAGATGTACGACTGGGATATGCCACCAGAAAGGGTCACCGTTCTGACTTTGGATGAACTGCTTGGATTAGTTCCTGGAGCTGAGCTGCTGGGCCTCCCCCCCCATTGATGGTTTGCGATTGATTAAGATAGATGTGGAGGGCATGGAGAAGGAGGTCATTGCTGGTGGTAAGAACGTCATTCAAATGTTCAAGCCAATCATTTGGTCGGAGAATGTTGCATACTTCTCGTCAAAAGGCAACCCAGTTTCATTCATATGACTTCACTCATGCAGGCTTGACTCAATAAAGCAGAGAGAGAGAGAGAGAAAGACACAGCGTTGTGAAAGCATGTGAAAGTGCAGTCGCGCATGGCCGCATGGCATGCGAGCTGACCGGGAGCACGATGTGCTCCAAGCCGAGGTGAAGATGTGTCTTTCCTCCAGTGACCATGCTGCAAAGCCAACAGATACCTGAGGTTTTTGAAGTTCCAAACTGTACATGGTGAAACTAGTGGGTGGGGGAGGAAAAAGGCTGAATAGAAGCAAAAAACGCTGGCACTGGCATGTTGCATTGAAAGGTGGAAGTGGAGCCGAGGCTTATGGACCAATTGGAATACAATTGCGCCGGTGCACAGAACGCTCCAAATGACATCATTTGCACAGACAGGCATGGCCGCGGTCATCAAATAGGTTGACCGTTTGACCAATGTAGTGCGTGAGTCCAATGGCCCAAGCTATCGAGCGCACTAGCGGACCGAGAAAAAAGTAGCGCAGGGAAGAAGAGAGAGAGGGCGAAACGCGGCTGTCCGATTCTTGGGTTTGTCTTTGCGCTGAACAACTGCTGGTTTGAATGATACTTCTCCCTTGTCTCGGGATTTGGTTCAAGAAACGTGTGGGACTACCCCTCATCCCATTTGCATGGTGTTTCTTAAACTTCGAGTCTCATGCCTTTGTTACATCGACCATGCGGAGGATCCTTTTTCTAACATAGAATGGCAGATAGCTTCACAATGCTTCACAATTCAGTAGGGATAATTTTCCGCGGTAGAGTTCAGACGCTTGCCATGGCCGATGCTTGGCCAATCTGAGTCAGAGCCAAAGCAACAGAATCCTTTTACATATATATATATAGAGCCTATAGAGCCCTTCACACCTTTTCCTGCGGCTGTGAGCAGCCAACTGGCCACTCCATGCTCCAGTATTTCACTGTGCTGTTGACTGAGCATTCATGCCTTGATGATAGTGATGCTTACAAATGGTACCATTGTGCCAAGCAGCATGTGTATCATTCGACTTGTTCAGTAGGAGCACGGCTTAGCTTCATGCTTTGACCGAAAGCATCTCCTTGAGCCAAGGAACCTGATGCGATTCGAGGAAAGTCGACGGGCGTTTTTGTGGAGCGGCCTCACAGACCGGGCAAGGCCATAGAACAATTTAAGACTCTTCTTATCTCTGCATTTCTACATTTGACACAATGAAAGAGGAAAGAGACCAAGATAGGCCCACCGGTGTGCAGAAAGACACGAGAACAAACATACAAAAAAGAAAGAGATCGCATATAATGCAGAGTTATACACAGACTCAGGATATATGTGTACATACGTCTTTGCAGTTCCACTGTCCTACTGTACCCCTTCCGCTCGCCTTTGGCATGCCTGGCTCTTGGACTTTACTCCACGCCCACTATCTCCCTCTCTCTCCTTTATTGTTTTTCTTTGTGTAGTATAGTCGTTTTCCTTCAGTCCTTTGGACCATTTTTCCTTCTTCCTTCCTTTCTCTTTAGTGCAGGAAGTTGAAGGCTTTCCAGTTAGACATCATTCTTGAGGACACCGAAGAGTGCTCGTTCGCTGCGGCTCAAGCTGTTTGCTGCGGTTGATGCGTTTGAATCCTGGCAGGTCTTCAAGCTGCGTGATATTCGACCCAGCAAAGAAGTGCCCCCTGCAAGTGCTGATGGCTCACAATCTCGTCAGCGTGCTCAGACAACATAGGAGTTAGACAATTATCGTGGCAAGAGAACCCCAAACTGTGTGAAGTAGAACAAGAAGGGTGAATGATAAGCTATAATAAGCAACTTCCGCACTCTAGAGCACACACACTTCGAACTTGGTTTTCAGTTAGACTCAATTGCCACGTTGGGAAGGAAGGTGAGGGAACGGAAAGGTGCATGGGTCCGATCACTTGAAGTGTTGAACATTGTTTCACTTGCTCTGCGGGTGCAATGCACGAAAACGCCTGAAAGCTGCAGCGGGGAAACCGGTTTATGGGGAAAGTAGCACGAAGGACAATGAATCAAAAATAGAAAAGTGGAGTAACAGCTTGTGAAGAACGAGCAGGTACGTCTGGCTGATCAGGCCAGATATCAGCACGGAGCTTGACCCTCTTCGTTGGATCACCAGTCAAGTCCGTGGGTGATCCCCCTGCCTCTGTTTCAGTGGAAAGGTGAGAACGTGGAAAACCCTTAGAACCAGGGTGTGACACACACAACACGCCGTTATCGGCGCACAGTCCAAGCGGTGAAGAAAACGGACCTTTTTCTCAAAAACCGCCTGCGCGCGTGCAGGTCGTGCCCTTTTTGGGCGTACAGGTGGACCAGGGCTTCAGCCGCAGCGGTGGCGTTGTGGGGTGGAAAAGTGTATGTCTTGGCATGCAATGCAATCCCTGAGATCTGCAGTGCTGAGCATGCGTAAGCTGATCGTTGGCTAAACGGCTGCGGTTGAAAAATTAAAATTGAAGAAATTAGCAATGCATAACACGAATGGATTTCAGAAATTTGGGTAGAAATTCCGTCGCTTATAGCCCGGCGGCTCGAAAATCAGTTTTTCAGGGATAAAGTTGAACAAACGGAAAGGCAGTTATAAAATTATAAAATTGAAGGTCGGTGATTTCCAGTATGATTTCGGCGCCTCCTTTCGGAGGGTCACACCCAGTACCCGAGTGGGAAGACTGAGCGGTCCACACTTCGAACTTGGTTTTCAGTTAGACTCAATTGCCACGTTGGGAAGGAAGGTGAGGGAACGGAAAGGTGCATGGGTCCGATCACTTGAAGTGTTGAACATTGTTTCACTTGCGCTGCGGGTGCAATGCACGAAAACGCCTGAAAGCTGCAGCGGGGAAAC